GTTGAGAGAGTAAAGGTCTTTTCTGCTCCTCACCCCCACCAGTAAAAAGGGTGAGGGTGCACAAGGAGCTTAGAGGAGACACAGTCGGGACAACTGACCCCAGCTGAACCGAGGGGTATCCCATACCATATGCTCATGCTTAGCATATAAAGCTAGGGGAATAAGAAACGGGATGTTCAGAGTGGCATTTATCTTCCTAAGTAACCATTGTACATGAAGGAGCCCAGCTTTCCTGGGGCTGGGAACAGCCAGACCCAACACTTGCCTGCCCAGAGAAGAGCATTAATTCCTTGTTTTGCTTTTTCTTTACCTATTAAACTGTCTTTATCTCAAATCCATAAATTCTCAGTTTTATTCTTCCAATTCTCTTCCCACCTCTCCAAGAAAAGGAGTGGGCAGCTGTATGGTGTTCAGTTTCTAGCTGGGATTAAGCCACAACACATGAGTAAAAAGAAAAGTAGTCACAGAAGTAATTGCCAATATGAACTTGAAGTTTAGTCTACAGGAAAGATTAGAAAAAGTTACACACATGAACACTTCTTTCTACAAGTAGGGAACAACATCATATTTTAGAAAAAAAAAACAACCTAAATTTTCTGATTCTTGTATATATTTCCAGTTTTCAAAAGAGACCTCAAATGCCAAATATTTCGTCAATTTCTCCTTATCATTATCTTCCAGGATGGAAAAAATCTCAGAGTCCTCTTAGTATTTCATTGTTACTTAAATGAACAGAACCCCTGGTTTCAATAGCAAAACACTGCATGCTTCAGAATATGAACTCAGAAATCTATTTCCTATCTGTGGGTTTATCAGAAAAAAACTGCAAACCAGCACCATACATCAAATTTACACAGACTACTCTGTAGGTCTCACTATCGAAGAAAAACATACATAACGTTTCTTCTAACAAATTAGAACATGGGAACAGCAACAACAGATTAAACCATGTGGCTCCACCTTTGAACAGATCATATTCTAGACTGACTTACATGCCACTCATATGAAAATACCTTTTTGAAGTAGCAGAGCCTAGTTATAACTAAAACAGTGATAGCTAATTGACACTACCTCGTGCATGCTTCACTAAAACAAAAGGATCGATACATTAAATCCATAGAGAATTCACAACATTCTATCATGTGTACATCTCAAATGTGTATCTATACATCACACACCTCTGACAAAGCACAGACAGATTCCTAGTAATATATATTTTCACAACTACAGGATTTATTAAGATCTAGATGAATCCAATGCAACAATTATATTAACAACATGTTCTCATACACACTTCAGTCTTTCATCATTCCCTGTACCTTGCCAGATGGATGTGAAGCTCTGCTCAAATGGGCAGAGATAAGTAGATGGCGCTGAATCACCAGGATAAATGTGAAGCCTCATCAGGGAAATAAAGGCAGTGCTTCTTTCAACATCTGCATTAGCAGAATCAGACTTAACACACAAATGACCTAGCAACACATTTCAGTTTCTATACAATAGATTGTACCTCAGCAGAGTGAATTTTACCATTGATAGTCTACATTGTCATAGCAAAGAAAAAAAAAAAATCACTTGTCTCAATTTAAGCTCTTTCAACCAATGCTATTAAGCTCCCCATTACAACATATCCGTGAATTTGTCATTCAGCGGCAGAAGCTTGAAGAACAGGCATTGAAAATGATCACCCATCTACCTGTCTTTCACTAATTTCTTTTCTCTTGCTTCATTACATACCATACCCAAAAATTACGCTGTAGGACAGATGAACCTCTGATCTGGCACAGTGTAGCTATTTTTCTGGTATGCTGCAATTCATCAGGATACTGGATTACTGGAATTCACAGTGGTTTTAATTCTTGGTGCCTGCAAATCTACATTTTACAGTGTAAAATGTAAAGGCAGAAAATTATTCTCAATTAACATTAAGACTGAGAAGAATGAACTATCATGGCTTCTATTAACATGGAATATGGGTCTTCCTGCTGTGTCATTAATTCTGAAAGCACCCAATTCTTTCAGCCAATCTGACTGATGCTACCAGAATGAGATGCAGCACTAACACAAAACCATGGAATTGCTATAAACACTGCATTTGACAGTCATCATTTAAAAAGCACAAATGCCCTGATATTGCTCAGTATGTCAATAGCTAACTATCCACAGACACAAACATTTGTGAACAGAGACACAATGATTTGTGAATTCTGAAAAATGCTCACATTCTCCAAACAATGGCTTCCTGGGACCAATAAATAACAATTCTGTGATTGCACAGCTGACATCTTTAAATTAATTCTGTGCTCAGACATTAACATTCCTTCCACAAACTGAAGGGCCATACATATATCACAAACAGGCACAGAATTGGATACAGCCCCATCATATTCCTCATTCTGTTATGGATGTGGGACCTAATATTTGGTCACTGAAAAACTATAATGCGCCACTTGGTATGTTGCTGCTTGTAGAAATTCATTTGCCTCTGATTCCATCCACACAAGAAAAAATGCTTCTACTGCTGGGTAACATTCTCCCAGGTACTATTTTTTAAAATTTTATACCTGTGTACCCTTAGAAATGTTAGCTTAGGTCACTTCAGCATTTCTGCTTTACATGGCCATAAATGGCACCGTTATACACCAGCAGCATTTTTTAACAAACATTGTAACTCAGTCAGGGTTTAGTTTGGTAGGGGATTGGTTTTTTTCTTTGCTGTCTCACCTTACACAGTGTTGCAGAACCCACTGTAGCTTCACAGTCGTGAGGAGTAGACTGACATCACCCTAAGGTGCTAAGAGCAAAATCTCACAGCAGTGCTGTCTTGCCTGCATTGCTGGCATTTACTGCCCATTGTTCAAAGTTAGCCCAGAAAAAAAAATGCAGTAGCAGATATAAGCTCCCTAATTAAAGGTGACTGCAGAACAGCTTCACAGCCTTTCTCTTAAGTTTACTAGGCTATCAGGGAAGCCAGGCATCAGAGTGTAAATAGATATTCCATGCTGTTTTGAAGCTGCTGTAGTCAAACAGGAAACCCAAAGTGAACAAACCCCATCAGTAGAGAAAGTTTTACATAATGTGGATAATCCTCCTGAGTCAACAGCAAGCTGCTTCCTTGGTCTTAAGGCTCATTTATCTGATGAAATTAGTTCCAGTAACATGCAAAGTAACAGAGGGGAGTGTTTGGCTCTGTACAGGAACTGGTGTAGAGGCATGGTAAGATCCATAAGAGTCCAGTAAGACTTAATAGTAAATTATGACCAGTATCCATACTCATATTGGTAGCTTCCTAAAGCAAGTCACAGCAGTGGCCTATCACTGATTTGAGTCTAAGGAAACCTATATAATCATTGTGATAAAACCAGCAGAGAAAACATTAAGTGAACAACTTCTAGCTCAAAATCTCACTTCTAGTATATTTTAAACACCTGCCTTCACTGCTACAAAAACAAAGCTCAATGAGAGTAGGGTTACGTTTTGAGTACACCTGCCCTAAAGGCAGGATCTCCATAGGCAGCTTGTTAAAATACAATCATTTAATTTGAAATCAGGCATCCTTACAGTCCAAACTTGCTCTCTCAACAGCTTTTATCTCCTGTTGCTTTGAGGCTTTTTCATCTTTTCTAACCCTCTGCTCAAATTTTCTTTTAATTCTTAGGATAACACTTCATTTCATCAAATAAGTACACAGACAGCTATTGTCTACAAAGTAACTCCCCTATAAAATCAACACTGGTAGTCTTGAAGGGATAGAGGAATCCACCAGTGGCACCACAGCTGGAATATTTTATCCCTAATTCTGAAGCCTTCCCTGCATTATCAAGCAGCCAGCTTTTTGTAACACACACAAACACTAGGAGCTAACAGATTTAACTCATCAATGAATTGACATTTAGAATAGAAAATAAAAACTCAGAATCCCCTTTAGAAACAGTGACTGAGTGAGGAGTAGAAGAAACAACAGACCGCTAAGGCAAACCTCTCCCTTTTTTGCTCTCCATCTGCCCTTGTCCTTTCTTAGATATAAAAATTATACCCTAAAACACGTCTCATGTATATGTATGCACACAGGGGTACACAGAGAGTGCATACATTGCCCTCTGCTGACCAGAGTCCAATGTAGTCCAACAGTGCTCCCCAACACACACACACAGTGATGACACAGGGGAGCTTCAGAGAGTGCTGAAGCAGGACTATATCAGTGTGCATCAATCCCTGGTGTAAGAGACACCTCCTGCAAGTTGGGAATCACAAAGGCCGTTTCTGAACCCAGTTTTAAGTTCTGGGGTTTCTTTGCTTTTTTTCTTCCTAGCTGGTGATACAGCTGCGAAGTGGGAGCAGGAATCAAATCAACCACATATGCCAGTTGCTTACATACCATCACCTAAAGCCTTTGCTGATTTACTCTGCATTTGTCAGCACTCTTTTTCCTCACAGTTGGGCATTTTAATGAAATAGCAGGGAGCTGCAGACAGGGTAGAAGTGAGGGAAACCAAGCAGGAAAACAAAACTGAGAGGCACTGACTACTACTTTCAGGCTACCTAATTTGCAAGTCCTTCTCTCTACTATTTTCACAAGTTTTTAAACTAAAAAGGACTAAAAGTCTCTTTACTTTTCAATGTGAATGCAAACCAGAAACATCAATCGGGAAATAAAAATAATTTTTAACATTTCCCCTCCTCCATCCCCACACTAGAACTCCTTCTAAGTGTCTACTTCTATGACTTGAGGGGGGAGAATCACTTTAGACCAAAGTTTAGAGACATACTCTAGATTGGAAAAAGTACAGAGTATTTTTTAATTTAGGAAGCATCTCAGGAAGTTCAACTAAGCTTATGGAGAATCTACATGTTACATTAAGAGTCTGTAGACCACCTTTCTGACAGTGGCTGGCTATAATGTCCTACATTTAAGTACCTACAAATGGACATAAAAGAGATGCAGATTGGGGTTCCTGAGGTGGGAGAAGAAAGATTTCTGTTATTGTTTCTATACTCACCCAAGGCCCAGTAAGATGCAGATTCCAAAGGCAGAGCACTACTGTAGAGAGCATGGATATACATGAGGTGAATCATCAGCTCAGCCAGGCACCACCAAAAGAAAATACGAATTATGCCCACAATTAAGATGCTGAGATTGGTCTTCACACTGAAAGTTTCTTGTGTCCTCATCTAAGGAAGAAATCCAAAGAGGTTACCTGGCACAAAACTGACTGTTTTACTCAAAATACTCATCCTGGGAACTTTTCACTCCACCATTTGGAAATTCCTGACACACTCTGGAGGGAACCTGGTCTCTCCATTCTCAGTCTCAGTAAGCAGTAGAAGCCAATGAGAAGCCAAATATGAATGTACATTGCACCAAACTGCTGTAAAAAAGGTCAGCTGTTGTTACCCTGAACAGAATCCAGACATGAGACTTTAATTCCTGCAACTTGACCTCTGGAGATAATATAAAAAGATTAAGGAAACTACAGCTATTAAGAAAAAGGTTTTCCAAGCTGAAGCCCTTCCAAACACAGTAATAATGACTGCTTCTCTTAAAATACCTCCAACTTCTCCCAGCTGCAGAGAATTAATTACATGAGGACAGTTCTTAATTCTTCTACCATAGCATTGCTGAAGTCAGCAAGACCTACAGAATGTGCTGAGAAAATGGAAGTGTGAGTTAAATATCAGATAAGGCAACGTTAGCAGTTGACAGGCTTCTCAAGATGCTCCAAACTTTAAACTGCTAATTATAGTAAACACATTGGCATATTATTATTGCACCACCTTTTCACAATAAAGGAGAATAGAATCAAAACCCAGAAGCATAGGATTGCCTAAAAATTCAGTCATGTATTATGCATCTATCATTGTGTGCAACATTTCCTTCTCCAGTCTCTAACTGGCCACCAAAAATGCACATATAAGTAACCAACTCATCTGCACAAGCCCTCAGTCCCAAGCACAGTACAGTTAACATGCACACTCATTTGGAGAGTTCCTTTGTATCAACTAGATGAAAGCTTGGAGACTACAATTTTATCACAGGGATTTGCACAACAGGCCTTCAAACTCATGTCTAGAATTGTTTTGCCTTCTTTCAACCCAGAAATTCATCAAGGCCACGGACAAAGTGTCAGTGTCTCATTTTTGCCTAGCAGTGGATGCCAGTTGCCAGGACTGGTATTACACTCTGGGGGCGATACAGCAGTTGACTGTCTCCAGCTCCAGAATTTCTGCTTCCCAGTGTGCTCAGCAGGAACCCTCATCCCACTCTCAGCTTCAGTTAGGGGTTTCTGAGAGTGGTCTCTCACAACAGCATCAATAAAGATTCTCCTTGCATTGTGCATTTTGAATGAACACCTGGGCACTGCATCCTTTGAAACCCTTTTCTGACATCATCTGCCAAGGTAACACCCTCTGCTCAGGTAAGAGTTCTGACAATACCCTTCAGCAAACACCAACAAGACAGACATTAACACTGTTCAGTTTGTTCCGTCCCTCTTCCGCGGCTTTAACCACACGTCTGTACGTATTTAAGGAGAACCTTCTGCAAAATACAGGCATCTCACTCTCAATCTTCCTTTTCCTTCTTACACCAAGAATACGTGTGCTCTTTGCTGAGCCAGATCAGGTGAGCTAAATTTCAAAGCAAAGCCCTCACAATTTTTCCTATCAGCTCCAGCTGTTTTCATCTTGGAGTCTCATAGGTCTTCTAAAATAGTCCTTGGAAAGAAAATACAACTGTTCCTCTTCTGGGGTACAAGGATTTAGGTGGAATCTAACACACTTCAGAAGCTAAAAAACAATAATTAGTAAAAAAATATTACCTCAGTTTCTTTTCCCACAATATCCAGCCCAAAATAACAACATTCAACCTTGCATCTTCCAAAGCAAGTGAAAACAAATGAGTGTGGGACTTTTCACTGAAGGATGCACCAGAATCTAGTTTCACTTTCATAAAGCCCAGTATTTGCTTTGGCTTCAACAGAAAATTCCCAAACAAACAGAAGCAAGCAATCCCCAGGCTTCTAGACATAAACTGAAAAAGCAGTTTTATGGTTTGAAATGTCCACTAATTCACTTTGACACAATAATTTTAACTATGGACATAACAGGTTCTGATACCACTTCTTACTCAAGTATGCAAGAAAATATGAAAAGCAATAAAGGATGAAAACATGAACTTTTCCCATCATGTAAAAAGCAGGCTTGAAAATAAGCCTGCAAGAGACTAAGAAAAGCATTCAGTACAATTGGTAGGTCTTATATTTTAAACAAGCTGCCCAGTTGAAGCAAAGTGGTCCTAAGTAAGCCACCAGCTGTTTTCACATCAACACAAAGAGAAACTGGAGTTTTCAGGAATTCCCAATACAATCTCTACCAGCTTTCTGTGATTCTGAAATCTGTTTCAGAGTTGGTAGCAAGCTTATGCTAAAAACATTAGCTTTATTTCACCTGATGAAGAAGAAAAAAAACCAGTCCAGCAGCTGCATGCTAAAATTATGAGCACTCTCCAAATGTGACAAAGCATGTCACTGGCTCCCTGGTTGAAAGGATGAATCTGATGTCAGACAAGAATATCCTGTGAAGCAGAAGAACCTGGGAAGACAGGATTGTCTTTAATGTTGATATCCAGGACATTAAAAAATTCCTCATGATACATTCAAAACTGTCACATTCCTAAAGTATTATCTGTTGATTTTATAATTATGTGGAAGACAGCTTTAGACACCCAAACAACAACCACTTACCTGCTTACTGAACTCATCAAAATTCACAAGGGGTCCATTGTGGAATGTAGGATAATAAAACACATATGCCAGCATCCAGGGGAATGAGTGGGATGACTTCTGGGTAGGTGCATGCCAGCAGTACTCCAGGCTGAAGCTAGTGCAGAAGAGGCAGCGGACAGACACAGTGAAGAGCAGCAGGTAATACTCATTTTCAGTGTCATACCACTTTCTCTGCAAAACAAAACAAAGCCAGATCATGACAGTGCAATGCTGTGTTTTCTCTACAGCAAGACATGAACGTCTACTCAGACCTCAACTTCTGGAGTCAGCAGCAGCAGGAAGAAACTAAAGAAAGTAGCAGTGGGAATGAGAATCTAAAGTGAACAGCACTAAACACATGAATAACTAGCACTGCCTTTTGATGGAGAAAGGTCCTCCAGAGCTACTGCAGCCAGCATAAAGAGACGACTTGATTAAGTTGTCTCATAAAGAGACAAGCTTGATTTCAGAAACATGTTCGGTTGTGAAGAACTAGGACAGCAGGAGAGCTCTTCTAACAGAAATGAAACATTATGTACCTCAGATTTAGTCCAGTGCTACAATATTCAAACCAGCTGGCAACGCAATTGATAGGCTAGGGACTACTAGAGCTGAAGCTAGATGTAAAGAGAATCAGTCACTCCTGAGAAAACTTACGTCTGGAAAAAACGTTACTGAGCATTTATTGAATTTTGACACTTGGTATCATACTTGTTGCCAACAACAAAAACCTATCATCATGAAAAACTTGAGAACATCAACAAATGTAGCCTGGCTGACTGACAATTTGAATTGAAGTGGGCCCTCTCCTCATCAGAGCAAATCATAAAACAAATCATTCCACATGAAGTGTTCCTATAAGCTCATTCCCCTCCCCCCTGAACATCACTGCAACAACCCTTATAACAAATGTCCAGTTTTTCCCATTGGTCCAGTAAAATACAACAGGACACTTCCTCACGACTGGTCAACAGTTTTTCCATATCTGTACTATCCAGAAAAAGCCACTAGACGAAGAGCAAAACTGAGCTTGCTTACAGCTAACTGATGCACGTAACTCATTTGGTACAAATCAAAGTGCTGGAGAAAGTCTCCCTCCGTGCAGAAGTCGCAGTCACCAGTGAGTACAGGCCAGCTTAACTGAGTAACTCCTGGATAACCTGAGTAATCCAAAACCCAGCACCTTAAATAGGTATGATAAGAGATCCAATGAAATGTGTTTATTAGAGCACTAGTGAAGTATTATCATACCCCAGCTCTACTGAATAACACCTACAATTAAGGGACATAGATACTTTTATCCCGATGCACTGGCCACCATGATAGAGAAATGTGACTTTTCTAACTGGAGAAGCTCCAGCATGAGTCACTGCAGTGCTACTGCTTAAGATTTCTCAAACCAACCCCTGCTTATATCAACTGAAGGGACAGTATGCTGCCATAGAGACAGATGCCATAACAGACAACCACCACCATAATTAATTTGATGCTTAATTAGTCCTTCTCACGTTACCTTGGTTTCTTCCACGGCTGGTATGCGCAAAGTTGACAGAAGGATAAGGGAGCACAACCATGTCAGGAGTGACAGCTGAAACTGCGCCACAGCAAAGGAAATAGCTGCATGTAACAAAATGACAGCAAAACCCTTGATTCCCAGTAATAACCAGCAGGCAGCCATTCCATAAACCATCAAGCACCACGGTTTATACTGTCAGAAAAAGAAAAGTTAACAATCTTTAGTTGAATTATTTCTAAAGAAAAAAGGCGCTCAATACTTGTGCTGCCTACACAGGTTCTGCAGTGGAGACAAATATAGTCAGCAAGGTGAGGAACACACATGAAAAAACACAGAAACCCAACCATAACCCTAAAAGTGAAAGGGAAGATGTCTTTGAGGGAGGGCATAATTTATTCCTTTCCTTCCCCAAACTAGCAGGTGTGACACCACACACAGATCATTTCCCACAATCACACAATCATTTAGCAATCGTGCCAAAACCCAAGCACCCATTATTTTACATACTTTCCTCATAAAGGAACAACTGCACCCTTCTTATAAGTCAAACAATGCTGTTTAATGGCTTGCAACAAGGCAAAGGCTTTTAGATGCTGAAGGCTGAAGTCTCAAAACATTAAGGCAACCAACCCCCACACACAATTCACACCACAGAATGAGATTTACTACTCTCAGTGGTCTCACTGCAAAGCTTCCCACATCCACAGTAAACAAACTCATCAGAAACTCCCTACTGTGACAAAAGTCCCTACATACCTTCTCCACCAAGAGCCTGGACATTTGTGATACCAGCAGGTGACCAGCCAGAAGCCACAGTATACGTTCCCTTCCCCATTCAATCCAGTAGCTCCACTCAAAGTCCATGGGGTCCTATGGCATGAAGGGAACCGGTCACTATGTTTATCTGGCCATACATTCTGTATTACAGAATACCTCTGTAATAACCAGCTGTGTGGTACCCAACAGAACTCCCACATCTCAGAAACATCATTTCAGCAGTTCAGCTGGATCACTTACAGCAGTGAACTCAGACAGCACCATTTTCACTTCCAGTGGAGCAAAGTTAAGGAAAACAGAGCTTTAGATGCCTCCTAAGCCTCACACTGGTGCTAAAGTTGAGCAACTTCAGCTCTCCTGAGGGATTCAGAGAACAACTCTGCTCTACCTTTGAAAACCAAGAATTTCAGTGGAAAGCTGCTTTGCTGGAAGAAAAGTTTAACTCCCCGTTTCAGCAAAGCCTAGCTACAATCAGATGGGGCTAGGTCAGCTGGACCTAGCTATGGCATGAGATTTTTACTTAAGTAGGTAAGAGGGATCAGCCGGTAGCCCCATACCGAATACAGAGCCTCACTAAAAGTTCATCTCAACTTCCTTAAAGCTTTCTAGAACATATCAAAAGTCCATGACCAGCAATGATGGCTGGCCTAAACACCAAAATACTTCCACAGACATGCATTCCTGCTTTTGTGTAAGCAGTCCTCAAGATTAGATGCATTATTTGCTTTTGACTTCAAAACCTTTAGAAGAAATGCAAGCAAGATAGGGTAAGGATGCGGCTTTTAGTTTAGAGGACTGACAGTTTCCTTACTGTTGTTTTGTTGGTTTTTTTTAATACCGGCTATGCTTCTTTAAGACCTTACACTTCAAAATCTGTTCTCCTCTATGCTGTACTACAGGCCAACCAAGAGAAAAAACATGGTCATTGACATTAAGCATTATCCAAATCACCCTGTAACAAGGGGGAAAAGGCTGTAGGAAGTGTCAAGGTTGATCAGAGTTTGAAGGCCTAACAGTAAAATAGAGGGTTATCAAGAGAAGTAGAAAAGGAGAATCACTTAAGCCAGTGTCAAGAAAAGGAACAAAACTTTGGTTATGATTCTTAGTTTCAGACACACCCAGACGGTCTCTTCCTAATCACCAGAACAAAATTAACTATAAATATCCAAATCTGCACCTTACTAGAAACTTCTAAAGCTAAACTAGAAGCTTGGATGCACAAAGGCCATGGAGGCACAATTATTGTCAGAAAACGAGACACTATCACCCCTCTTACCTTTTTTAGCCCCCGAAAGAGAGTCCCTGGGTCCAGCCCAAATCTTCTGTCCATTGCAGCTTCATACTCTGCAGGGAAGAGCAAACCTTTGATAAGGACACAGCAGCCAGAGCAGGAAGAGCCAGAGGTGAGTTTTCTGCTGCTCAAGAGCAACACATTCCCATGTGGTCTCCACCAGAGAGAATACCCACCGTCACAGAAAGGCAAGTTACCACATCCCTGCTCAGCAGGTGAGGGGCCCAACTGTGCCACAGCTCTGCCCCACAGTAATGGCAAAGCAATTTCTCAGAACCGGTGTTTTGATTCCCACTGGCAACCGGGACAGCAGCAGTAACTCACCTTCTACCACACAAGAGCTGCACTACTCCTCACTCGCCATTTTTCAGAACTGCCTAGTTTCTCCCACCAGAGCAGAAGGGGGACACAGGCACAAGAGTGGCCAGTACAGCTAAAATAGGGAAAAGCTACTCAGAGAAGCTGCTCTAGAGCCCATTGCCACCACATTTTGCTGCTTCTGCAGAAGAACTGCTGCATGCAGAGAACAGCTCTGTACCCAGTTACACAGCACTCCTTCCAGTGCTCTGCGAATACCTTTCTGGCACTTCTGTTCTTCCCTTGAGCACTTTCAAGAGCCAGGTAGAGTCATTAATGTAGAACCTTGCTGATTAAAGCCTAATAAGATGCAATATATTCCCCGCAAAGTCTCTCTAGATATACTTTTATAATACAATCTTCATTTCCATTTAAATACCCACGTGCTATAACGAAACTTCTTTTCACCTATAAATTGCACGTAATTTGTTTAAAATCCCACCCTTGCTTTGCAATACATAGCTCCATAGCTCCAAACCAAACCACCACAGCAGCTACCAAGAGGTTACACGAGGCAGAGGTAGGTGTTTGGAAACAAAAAGACCACAAAGCTCTACAGACTGTCCCAACCATTGCTCTGAGTCCTGGACTCATCACCAGAGCCCCAAAGCTCCAAGCAGGGAACACCAACTTGCCCTAGTGCCCCTCCAAGTTCAGACCCAGGCAAGTACCATCAGAAAGCACAGCTGCTTCTGAACCACCCACCTGCAAGGAGCTGTTGGTGACTAGCCAGGAAAAACAAGGCAATTCAAACCCAACTCTCCTGAATTTTCCCTAGCTGAGTAGCTGAGATTCAGAGGTCTTCCTCATCTTTTCCCTGACAGCCACATCCGAGGACAGCGTTACCATGGGCCTTCCTAGCACTCAAAGGCAAAAAAGCCCTGGGACAAAGCTCTCTACTCAGGTGGCATCAGCCTACCGCTTCCTCGCATAGGGCAGGACGGCAGCTGGGAAGAGCACAGCAGCTCTTCGCACAGGAACAAAGTAGAAACCAGAGAGGAGAACTCAGCCACGGGCGGGAAGCTGTGTCCGAGCGAGCACGCTCACGTCGCACACTTACTTCGAGACACTTGGTGCGCTTCGTAGAAAGCGTAGAGGTGGGAGCCCACGGTCAGGAGCCCGTAGAGGCACAGTTCCCAGGCCGGCAGCAGCATCGACACGGGCGCTGCTCCCACCGGCCGCCTCCCTGCGGGGAAAGAGAGGACGGGAGCGGTTTCCCGGCGGAGGGCAGGCAGGCACCGAGCAGCGAGACACCCGGCACGGCCACCGCGGCTCCAGAACTCCGCCGGGCTCAGGCTCAGAGGC